TTATTAAAAACGCGTTTGTTTTCGTTGTCTAAATTTGCAAGTTTTTTTTTCAATCAAAACTCGTGTAAAATTTTCACCATGGGACGGATACGTATGTCAAAACATCGTGCTATTGCTACTGCCGCCAAAAACCGTCACGAGGTCTTCGTTGCATCTGCAAGGTTCACTCATTGTTAGCACGAATGTTAAGAATGTTGCCATTCGTTGTTTTCAATTTCACGCAAAAAGCACAAGGCAATATCGGCAATAGTTCAAACTAACTACCAAATAAACTGTACAATAGATAACCGTCTTCGACGGCGCCTCTGGTCATATAAACACGATTGAGGGGCCCTCACTCATACTATGTCGCAATCGTACATTGGCCGAATTCCTGAAAGATTAATCAACGAAGTCACGAGTCACTATATATATATATATAGGCCTATCCTAGTGTACGGGATTATTGTAGCCTAACTAAGTCGAGTTCGTTGACAGATAACTGTTTATTTTGTTTAAATGTTAATAATGCGCGCTCGCGCGAGCATCTGCAAGATTTATGCCGGCCCGCTAGAGGGGAGTGCTGCATTGCTTTCAACTTAACTGAACGCGCTCGAGCGTGCAGCCGGTTTTTAATGAATGCACGCATCGGCCGATATCACGAGAAGCGTGCGCATTTACACGCCACGAGAGAGAAGGGAAGGGGGAGAGAAAGAGAGAAAGAGAGAGAGAGAGAGAGAGAGAGAGAGAGAGAGAGAGAGAGAGAGAGAAAGAGCGAGAGCGAGAGAGAGAGAGTGGAAGTTATTTCAGGGTCACCGGGCGTGTACACCGTGCAGTCGTGTGAAATGCAGCGCGAGAATGAGATGAAGCGTCCCAAAGACGGCGCGACGTGCGCCCTGGGAGGGGGAGGGGGGAGACTACTGGTCAGTGTGTAACAACACTTTATAGGTAGCGGCACTTTATAGCACTTCTAGTAGGTAGCGGCATATCGGTATAGCATGGAACGCGAGAGAGTGCGGGCGCGCGCACGGCCCGCTGCCGTGCTTGTGAAACTATCGCATCACAGACGCTCGCCACCAGCCCCACGTACTCACGGCCGTCTCACCGGGGGAAGCTGCCGAAAACGTAAAGGGTGCATTCATCTCTGCAAAATTCCACTGCCGTTTGCTGTTGTGTTCGTGTCTACGCGACTTCGTACGCGAGAGAGGCAGAGAAAGAGAGGGGACAGGGAGGGAGGGAATGGTGTAGTTGCAGAGGGAGAGGAAGAAGGAGAAAGTGAGGGAGAGAATGGGGATCGATAGAGAGTCGGTGTTTGTGTAGAGCTTGAGAGGAAGCAGGAGAAGGTGAGGGAGGGAATAGGGATGGAGAGAGATTTGGTGTTTGTGAGAGTGAGAGTGTACATGTGTTTCTGAGAGAGAAATAGAGATAGAGAGAGAGGGGGAGAGACGGTGAGAGAGAATGGGAGAGTAAGCGCAAGGTGTCGGTCGTACTACCGCTCGCGTGCGGCGGCGGTCTCTCTCTTGTTCTAGTACGTTCGCCAAATTTTTGACACAGATACGCTATGGCCTCCCGCAGTTCTTTTTGGCAGGTTTCCAATACATCTTTTTGCTTGACTAGTTAGCTTTGTGACACAGAGTGCGCTCTTGGCAGCGTACGTGTATAATGTGTCTGCGCGCGTGCGTACGTATGTGCGTGCGTGTTCGCGCGGCTGTAGGTGCGACCCACAGGCACTTGGAACGTCTAAAAAAAAATGTAAACACGAAATGTATTTACTACCAAAGTCTTAATGTTTCTCTACGCTATTTCGCCTATTATTGCCGATAATTACCCGTAAATGCCGGTCAAATGCTCATCTTCAACACACAAGTACACCGCACGCCCGCCCTGTGCACAAACAACATGAATAAGAGAGTTGTTTCATGTTCAGTTCTCTCTTATTCATGTTGTTTGTGCACAGGGCGGGCGTGCGATGTACTTGTGTGTTGCAGATGAGCTTTTGACCGGCATTTACGGGTAATTATCGGCAATAATAGGCGAAATAGAGTAGAAAAACATTAAGACTTTGGTAGTAAATACATTTCGTGTTTATTTACCATAATTTTTTTTAATTGAGACGTTGTAAGTGCCTGTGGTGCGACCCCCCCGTGCTCGCCGGCGGACCATGTAATTTTTACCACGTAAATAAATGGATGGAAGGACCGACGGACGGACGAACGGATGGATAGATATAGATAGATGGATAGCCCCGTGTGTATGTTAAATGTGTGTTTTTTTCACCAGCGGGCTAGAAACCACAGGTGATCCTCTACAAATAAAATGCATGGGGTCTGGTAAAGTTCACAAACAAATATATATGCATCTGTATTGTAGTGAGGAGAAGTGCGGAGAGAATTGAACTTTCTCTCAGAAGGCCACGCGTCACGATGTTGAATTATGATTCGATGTTGTACCCATCTCCTGATAGGTTACTGATATTAGGCGGGAACTATTTATTTCTCTGTGATGTAAAGAGACGGAGAGCGATGAAGAAAGAGAGAAGTATGACGCTAAAATGGTCTATGTCGTACGGAGTACAAAAACCGGGGACCCTACTGAAGTACTTTAGGTTAGGGTTTACCCGTTAGGCTATGGGCAGGGTTCGCTTACAGTTATGGTGGGGGCGAGGATGAGGTTAGGGTTAAGGATACGTAGGGAGACACGAGGCCTTTCAGCCCTGGTATTTACTGTAAGCCCCCCCCCACACACACACACAACCATTCATTCTTACGTGCGATTAATAAATTTACGATGCGCACATTTAGAGATGTTTTCGCCGCCGTGCGTATTTATAACATCAACATATTTCACGTGCCGCGGTGTCAACGTTATTACGTTCAATGGCTTCCTCTCTCTTCCCCCTCCTCTCTCTCTCTCTCTCTCTCTCTCTCTCTCTCTCGTGCGCGTTCTCTCTCATCGACCATAAATTCCTCGCGTGGCGGCCACCCAGCGCTGCTTCGTTTCCATCATTTCACTTCCACGCAGCGCGCGCACGAAGAAGAATTTCTTAATGCAAAGGAAAAAAACGCGCTAATCAGACGTCAGCGTCGCTGTCATGGCGGAACATGGCAGCGGTGCTAGCGCGCGGCCGGGTTTTTTCCTCCGCGCGCTGGCGCGTGCCCGATGTGCCCGCGATGCCGCCGCTCTCACTCGCCGGCTGCGAGTTTTTGTTAGAAGCGCGTGCGTGCGTGCGTGCGTGCACTAGCCTCTCGCGCTCTTGCACCCTTTTTCTGTCTCCTTCTCTCCCTCCTTCCCTCCCTCCCTTCCTACCCCTCTCACTCCCTTCCTATGTCCCTCACGCCCTCCCTTCCTCACTCCCTTCCGCTCTCCCTCACTCCCTCCTTTCCTCTCTCCCTCACTCCCTTCCTCCCCCCTCACTCCCGTTCTCCCTCACTACCTTCCTTCCTTCCTTCATATACCTTCCTCTCTCTCCATCACTCCCGTCTTGCCTCTGTCTTCCCTCTCTCCCTTCTTCTCTCTCCCTCCCTTCCTCTGTCTTCTCCATCTCTCTCTCTCTTTCTCTTTCTCTCTGTATATGTGTGTACGTGTGCGTGTGCATGGATGTGCGCGTGGGTGTGTGTGTGTGTGTGCGTGGGTGTGTGTGTGTGTGTGTGTGTGTGTGTGTGTGTGTGTGTGTCGTGTGTGTGTGTGCGTGCGTGCGTGCGTGCACTAGCCTCTCGCGCTCTTGCACCCTTTTTCTGTCTCCTTCTCTCCCTCCCCTCCCTCCCTTCCTACCCCTCTCACTCCCTTCCTATATCTCCCTCACTCCCTCCTTCCCTACTTTCCTCTCTCCCTCACTCCCTTCCTCCCTCACTCCCGTTCTCCCTCACTCCCGTTCTCCCTCACTCCCGTTCTCCCTCACTCCCGTTCTCCCTCACTCCCGTTCTCCCTCACTACCTTCCTTCCTTCCTTCATATACCTTCCTCTCTCTCCATCACTCCCGTCTTGCCTCTGTCTTCCCTCTCTCCCTTCTTCTCTCTCCCTCCCTTCCTCTGTCTTCTCCATCTCTCTCTCTCTCTTTCTCTTTCTCTGTGTATATGTGTGTACGTGTGCGTGTGCATGGATGTGCGCGTGGGTGTGTGTGTGTGTGGGGGGGGGGTAGTCTTGCCTTGCGCTGCTGCCTCGTGCTCGCATCATCGGAACGCGGAATCAAGTAGTATCAACGCGTGTGTCTGCTAACTACGCGAGAAGGGGCCACCCTCTAGGGGCTTTCACGTACATCGTCACCTCGCAGCTCCACGAGTTTTTTTGTGTCTGGGCTTGGTTTTCAGTTACACGCGCGCGGTGATGGGATGCATGGCAGGAAAAAAATCGAAGCAATCTTGCTCATCAGCCGTACGTCTCAATCTGGTCGGGTGCTCACAAACAAGCGATCATTCAACGCTGACCTAATGTTACATCCCGACGTGACGTTAGACCTGGCTAGAACGGTCGTGTGTGTTTTACACAACGGTTATATAATGACGATGGGTGTTACAGTTACGTGTCAGCATGCAAGCGTTTGAACTGGTTGAAATTAAGCGACCATCAAATGTCCATCACATAAATGACTGGGACCTCTGTCTACGAAAATATTTAGTACACTTCATGGGTAATTAACTTTTGTAACTTTTCTACTTACTCGTAGGTTATCTCTGTGATGCGTAACGTTATTTCCTTGGCATTTGTTTTGCTATTTAAAAAGTGCAGATATCCTTATTTCCCTGTCAATTGTGTATATAACTAGAAACGTGCAGGTACACAAATCAATTTCAAACACAATAACATTATCATCATCATCATCATCATCATCATCATCACCATCATCATCGTCATCATTATCATCATCATCATCATCATCATCATCACATGTAAAATACTGCATGATAAACGCAGTGGTACGATTTCTGGCACTCTATCGTCTTATTACATGCAGTCACAACGACAATCACAGCGAGGGAGTCGCGATCACGCGAATCACAGTTCTCTTGTTTCTCTCGTTGCAGGTACGTGAAGCCACTGTCGTTTGCTGACTGCACAGGTAACGAGCTTCCATACGGCTGGGAGGAGGTGTTCGATCCCCACCTCGGCATCTACTACACCGACCACATCAACCGTAAGTAATCGTACCATAGTTATAGCATCAAGAGCTAATAAATATTATTATAAGTATAAATATAAGTATTTATTAGCTCTTGATAGCATGTATCCATTCCACCTTACATTCTCCCCATCTCTGTGTCCACCACACCGACCACATCAACCATAAGTACCGCGGCCACCTTCTGCTTTAGTTAGAATGCCCTGGTACCATTTCTAGCTAATGTTCTTCCCTGCCCTCTTGTGCATGTATGGGCTTCTATGTATGAACTATGATGATATAGATGTATGGAGCTTTATATCATCATAGTTGCCACCAATGAACAATGCAGGGACTATAATATGTCAGCAGTGAACAATGTATGCAGTACAATATTCGACTAGTGAACAATGTATGGACTGCTATACGCCACCACTGAACTATTTATATATTAATGCCTGTTGTTGGGGGCACTATGCTCTCATAGTGCCCCCAACAACAAGCATTAATGTTTTTAGTGCATCACATGACTTTGCAATCTACTCGGCAAATATGAAGTGAATAAGACGAAGTTTCTTAAACGAACAATTTCAATTTGTATTAAAACACAATGCGTTATAATAACAATGCGTCGCGCAAGCAATAGTGCCCGCTCAGGCGGGCACTATTGTTTCATAGTACCTGCGACGTTATCCAATAGAATTTCAACGATTTATCATGTGATGCACTAAGTATGGATTAAAGTATGCCGCCATTGAACAATGTATGGAGTAGAATATGCCACGAGCAAATACTGTTTGGACTACAATATGCCAACAGTAAACCATGTATATACTGTTCGTGTTCGTGTTGAGAGAGCGACTACGGGAGAACGCATTACATTGCAGTGCGCGTGCCTCCGAGGCACCGCGCGCGTGTAAGTAAGACTTGTCATGTGCGGCAGCACCGGTTTTTTGAAGGCGAGAGAATGCGGACATGTGGACCCCGCGCAAAACATTCTCTCAACACTCTCCTCTCTCCGCTCTTAATTCGGAACACGTGGAATTCCTAGGAGGCTCGAGAAAGCTGCTGTTCCTCTAAACATTCTGCGTGTTTTGTTTTTGCAAATTGATATGTTAAATGCAATTATGACATAACAGCATGTTGCTGTCGGCTACACCCATAGGCTTAAACTGTAAATGATTTTTTTAATCAAAATTCTCCGAGAAGCCGAGCAATAAACCAGACACGCGGCGTAAACCTGGCACAGGGGCTTCCGCAAATTCCCTCGCGTTTTGGTTAAGGAATGAACGCAGACTGCGCTAAAAACCACCTTCTCACATATGCGTACCTGTACCTGTGACGGAAGATGCTTCTAAGTCGGCGTGGCACGCACGTGGAATCGGGCACACGCACATCGTACGTGCCTGTGCGCGTGAACAAAATCTTTCCATGTAACTATGCATAGTCATCATCATACATTCATCTCATGTTATAATATATTAGGAATGAAGGAATGAGTAAGAGGGCAAGACGTGGGAACGACCGCGTACACGTTGTACATTCTTTAGCATGAGTGTCTATAATTAGCCGGTGTAAGTTTTCAAATATTCAAATGATTATCAGCTCTATTAATTGTAAATTCCAATCAAAAATAGCACACGCGTGCATACCGGCTGTCTCTTTTCGGCAGTATTACGGGCGATGTATGCGAGAGATGGAGCAGGCAATCTGGGGCATGATGCGGTTTAATCTAGACCCGCGTTCACTCACTGGTTTCGGTACACTCGCAGTCATGCACGCATGCATGCACCAACATAACTAAGTGCACGCACACGCACCCTTACACGCACGTGCATGCACGCACGTACACACGTGCGCACACAAAAACCACAGAGACAGACAGACACACACACACACACACACACACACACGCACACACACACACACACACACACACACACACACACACACGCGCACGCGCGCACGCAGCGTACACACACACACACACACGCACACGCACACGCACAGCGCACACGCACACGCACACGCACACGCGGCACACACACACACACACACACACACACACACACACACACGCACAGGTTCATACAAACCAACTCACTGGTGACCAATGTTTGATCCACTTTCACAGAGGTCAATCAGATTGAGGATCCACGCGCGGAATGGAGGCAGCAACAGGAAGCCATGCTCAAAGACTACCTGCAGACGGCACACGAAGACCTGGCTGTAAGTATGACGAACACAACAGAGCATGGAGTAGGCAGAGAATTTCTCTGCGTAGGTAGTAGGGGGACGTGAATATGAAGGGAAGGGGAACGGTGCTACCCGGTCTCTCTGCAAATATGAACAAATAGAGCATATAGGAAGAGCATTGACCTTGGTCGTGGGGATCACCATCGACAATGGGATGACCCTGACTATAGGGATGACCTTGAATGAAAGGATAAAGAACTGAGTGGGTTACCTTGACTGTTCGAGATAACCCCTTATTGAGAGGATGACCTTCATTGATGTCATTGACTCTTGACGCGAGAGGGGACCTTGACTGCCGGCACGACGATGTCGTCTCCCCCCCCAGGCGTAAGTGTCAACTCTTGTGTTTTCCGTCTTCTGCTTCAGGCGAAGAAGGAGATCTATCAGATCAAGCAGCAGCGGCTGTCGCTGGCGCAGCATGAGTACAGGAACCTGAATGAAGCCCTCGTCGCGGCCGGCCACAACGGTCTCAAGGACTCGAGGACTAGCCGTGAGTACTGCTGGACTCTGCATCGCGCTATGACATGAGTCGTTGGGGTTAATGAGTAGGGTTAGGGTTAGGAATGTGTGTAAGCAGATTATGATTAGGGTTGTGGTTAGATTTAAGGTTGTGATTAAGGCTATCATTAAGGTTAAGGTTAGGGGCTCATGTTAAGGTTAGGTTTAGGTTAATAGTTAGTTTTTAATAACTTTGCTCACAGCTTTAGGGTTTACACTATCATTGGGGTTGGGGTGGGTTGCATGCCTCAATACCACACGTTTCCTCTCATATAATACCTGAACCCGTCGCCTCTCTGTTGATGTTGCAGTGTTGTCGACCAGCAGCTCCGGCAGTCACAAGTATGATGTTGACCTGCTGCGAGCGGACGTTCAGCTGTCGAAGACACGCGTCGCACGCATCAAACGCGAGCTGCAGCAGATACGCTCTGAGATGTACTACAAGGAGAAGGGCGTCGAGACGCTGGCACAGTACGTGGTGCCGTGCAACATTCGAGCAACACTCACGCAACACTCGCGGCAACATTTTCTCTCATGCAATCACTCAATCTCGTGCAGTGCTCTCAACATTCGTACGACACTCACGACACTTGTGCAACACTCAACAGTCATGCAACATTCAACATTCACGCGGCACTTGCGGCAACATTTTCGACTCTCGTGCAATGCTCTCAACATTCGCACTACGCTTACGACACTTGTGCAACGCTTGGCGGTCGTGCAACACTGTTATTATGCATGCAACACTCTCAACATTCGTGCAACACTGTTAGAACTCTGAACAGTCATGCAACACTCACAACTCTTGTTGAACACTCAACGATCGTGTAACACTGTTAATACGTGTGCAACACACTCAAGACTCGTGGAGCACTGTCAGTATTCTCAACAGTCGTGCAACACTCAACATTTGTAAAATGCAACGAAAGCTCACTGAAGCCTATTTTACACGTAAGGTATGCGAATATTTGCACGTGGAAAATGTTTCCATGCAACTCGTACGTGTATGGTGGTGGGCTTGAAAGAATACTGTACTGCCTCATACGAAATCATGTACACACAAATATATTAGCACACAACGCGTGCTTGTGTATAGTTGGTTTCACAATCAAATGAACGATGAGTTTCATCCAATATTATGCGGGGTTTTCTCTTTTCTCTTGAGTATGTTGGTGTCGTTTCTGCCTTCAAACCTTCTCGTGCGTTTGCAGAATCGAGCAGAAGATGGCAGCACAGGGCGGTTACTCGATCGATCAGGTGCAGGCTATCATGGAGGAGCTGAGAGCCGTGCAGCGGACATTGCTATCTGGCGAGCGGGAGAAACGACACCTGATTGGGGTGAGTGAATGAGTGAGTGAGTGTGGTGAGTGAGTGAGTGAGTGAGTGAGTGAGTGAGTGAGTGAGTGAGTGAGTGAGTGAGTGAGTGAGTGAGTGAGTGAATAATCATGATTACCTGGGTAATAACGCTGTTAGAATGTCCTCGAGATAGGTGTCACAGTCCTGTGTCCCGTGTGCGTAGTCGGTGATAATATCGATGATGAGTGCTGACACCTTACCTTGCAGTACCTGTCGCGGTTGAAAGACGACTTTCGGGGTCAGAGTCTTGAGTCGATCGGTTCGACGCAGGACGTCTCAGGCTTTCCGAACCTGGAAAAGGCCAGCATCGCCTCTCAGACGAATCTGGCCGGGGAGGTAAGTGTTCACAGATAGCAGCCGTAGATTTCGGCGTTTGCAATGCGTGCAGATTAGAATGTGTGCGGCTCAAAACGTGCAGTCGCTCACCTGTAAATCTCACAGCGTGCCAGGAGATGTATATGTACATTGTGTACCTGTTGGATCATGCAATTGGCATTGCGTGGCAGTGTGTTTGGTAGTGCGATAACATCAAGATGTAAGACGCATATATACATGCAGTATTTTACCTGTTATTCCCCTGTGCACCAGTAGATGTACGTTGTGCGTCTGCGTGAGCCACGGTGTGTTCGCATTGCGTGCAGATCGAGATGTGAGACTCGTAAACATGCAGTATTTTTCCTGTAATTTCCCTGTGCACCAGGAATGGTAAGTGTACGTTGTGCATCTAATCATCATCATCATCATCATCATCATCATCATCATCATCATCATCATCATCATCATCATCATGCGTCGCGTTGTGTTTGCAGTGCGTGCCGATCGGAGCGCGGCTAGCCGAGATGGCTCGCATGCGGCTGAAGTACGACGAGGCACGGCGACACGTCATCTCCGTGCAGAGCCGCCTCGCTCAACTAGAGGACCAGCTCATACCGGGCCAGTCCGAGTCAGACAAGGACAGGTACGTAACGCACGCTGCGTGCTAGCCTCACTGGGCAATGTAGGAATTCATTCCTCTCTGGTGAATGGAGAGGGGATGGGTGTTCCCCATCATAGATTATGTGTAATAGCAGGTAGACACTGCTAGGGCCGCAGCAGGAATTCTTAGTGGAAGGCGAGTGCTGGGGATGGGATGGGTGTGGAGAGGAGTAGCGAGTAATGTTGCGATGCTTAGCGAGGTTTCGTGAATCCGCAATATAATAAATATGAGTGCTGTGGTGTATGTGTGTGTGCGTGCGTGCGTGCGTGCGTGCGTGCGTGCGTGCGTGCGTGCGTGCGTGCGTGCGTGTGTGTGAGAGTGTGATGTGTCTGACGTAGAGGTGAGTGATGGCATGGTGATGGGAAGCTGCAGCGTAGGGATGCTCAGCGTGGCTTCATGATTCCTCCACACGCAGGTTGCTGCTGGTGCAGGAGAAGGAGCAGCTTCTGCGGGAGCTGCGCAGCAGCTGCCACAAGTCGCGCTCGGCCGAGGACCTGCTCAGCATCAACACGGAGATCGCGAAGCTCGAACAATACCTGCGTGACGCCGTCGTCACGTCGAATCGTGCCATAGCTGGCAGGTATGTGTGTAGCTAGCAATTGCTGACAGGCAGGTGTGTAGCTAGCCATAGTTGACAGGTATGTGCAGCTAGCCATAGCTGACAGGCAGGTGTGTAGCCAGCCATAGCTGACAGATATTACAGCTAGCCATAGCTAGCAGGCATATACAGCTAGCCATAGCTGACAGGTATGTGCAGCTAGCCATTGCTGACAGGTATATACAACTAGCCATAGCTGACAGGTATATACAACTAGCCATAGCTGACAGGCATATACAACTAGCCATAGCTGACAGGTATATACAACTAGCCATAGCTGACAGGTATATACAACTAGCCATAACAGACAGGTATATACAACTAGCCATAGCTGACAGGTATATACAACTAGCCATAGCTGACAGGTAGGTGTGCAGCTAGCCATAGTTGACAGGCAGGTGTGTAGCTAGCCATAGCTGACAGGCAGGTATGTGTGTAGCTAGCCATAGGTGACAGGCAGGTGTGCAGCTAGCCATAGTTGACAGGCAGGTGTGTAGCTAGCCATAGCTGACAGGCAGGTGTGTAGCCATAGCTGACAGGTATATACAACTAGCCATAGCTGACAGGTATATACAACTAGCCATA